CGGAGGCTCTTCTTCAGAATAAGAGGCAGAAATAACTTCTAGTTTGCAGAACAGGGTTTATATCTGCAAGGAAGTGAGTGTAACTCAGCAGCTATGAGCTGCAGGACAGACATTATTAGCCACATGGACTTAGACTTTATCAAGACAGGAAGAGGGACACGGGAACAAAGAACAGATGGAAACCTGAAAACGAACAGCCCCGATTTCTACGGAACCTTAGCATCATGACAGTACCATGCAACGGTGCAGTCACTCCAATGAACAGCCGTCTATTAGACTTAATACAGAACAATCAAGAACTAACTACAGGAAAGATATCCTATATAAGAAAAGCCTAGGTGGCATCACACCCTTGCACGACACCCTCACGTGATGTCCTCACAAGATGACTGGCAGGGGAGGGCAGTTGTGGGCAATCGGGCCAGCAGTGGAGCAGTTATGTGTCAATCAGGCCAGTGGAGGAGCAGTTATGGGGTGATCAGGCTGGCAGGCAGAAGTAGTTAGGGGCGATCAGGCAGGCAGGCAGGTGAGCAGTTAGGAACCAGCAGTCCCAGATTGTGAGAGGAATGTCCAACTGCTAGGACTGGGCCTAAACTGGCAGTTGGACATCCCCCAAGGAGTCCCTGATTGGAGAGGGTGCAGGCTGGGCTGAGGGGACCCCCACCCATGCACAATATCGTGCACTGGGCCTCTAGTTTAATAGAAATAAGTAACTTACTCCAAGGAGAACTCTCTGACACACCTGAAACCCCCAGGGAGGCCCGACTTCTGCTTGCTGGACCCGAAGGTGGGGCGCTGCCGCGCCCACTTCAATCGCTACTTCTACAACCACCACTCCGGGCGCTGTGAGCTGTTTGTGTATGGAGGCTGCTGGGGGAATCTAAACAACTTCGTAACCGAGGCAGAATGCCAGCGCTACTGTGGGCACCCGGGTGCGTCTGTGCTCCTCTCCCTTCACTGTGTTTCCTGGTGTTTCAAACATAAGGCGTCCTGAGGACAGGTGTGCCTGGCCTGTGGGTTCCCAGACCAGTGGGATGCATTCGTTTCCCCTGAATCTGATAGGAACTAGTCAGGATGTGAAAGAAATGTGTTAAAGCACAAATACGCAACAAGCCTGACTTCAGGGCCATGGCTTCCCTAGATGGACATTCCATTTTTCATTCTCCGTTATTTCGTTTTCTTTCCTGACAAAACCGTTGTCTCTGAGGGGCGATGGCGGGGCTCTGAACTCCTGACCTTCCCGGCCATTTCAGGACAGAGACCTTCCACCTTGAAAATCGATCGTTTGATGTGCCCATGACACGCAGGAACGGAGTGACTAACATTAACCCTCAGACCTCTGTTTGCTAAGAACCACAAAACTGCTCCTGGAGCTATGATCTCAGTTCATATAAGGAGCACAGCCGGAGTCCCGGGTAAGAACGTTATCTTTTTGAAATTGCTGCCAGAAAAATAGCATGTTACAACAGAAGCGGGATGGACGTTAGAACTGTGCTTTTTAGCAATTATACCAGCTTTTCAGACTCTCGATTCTGTCAGCACTTTGCCCGTTGTCCCGGGAGAGGGCACGGTGAGCTTGATCATGTCTCCCAGTCACTCAACTCTGTTGCTCGCCCAGCGGCACCCCTGCCCCTCGCCCCGCCTGGCTGTTTGTTCAGACTCCAGCCCCCATATGTGGGCCTCGACACACGTGTCACCCAAACCGGAATATTCACGGGAACGAAAGGAGATGCTTCAAGATGTGACTTATCTATTTTAAATATGTATGTGCTGACAGGAAAGTGGCTTTGCAATTGGATGTGTAAATTAGTTTTATCAAAACAATATTTCAACATGTTGGGACACGATATACAAAAAAAAAAAGCAATAGATCTCCCACAGACTCAGAAATCCAGGTGGCAAAGGCACCAGATGGAAAGATAGGGATGGGTGGGTGGGTAGTCACAGAGATCATACAGGACTCAGAGAGAATATGAAATAAAATATAATATAATGAAAAAGCAGAATAAATAAATACAAGTAATATAATAAT